TTGAGTTGGTTTACAGCCACTTACATTTTTTCTGTAGCTCATGTCTGATCTTGTCATTCTCCTGTCCAGGTTCCTCAGCACTTCTACATTTGCCTCCAAAATAAAGTCAGAGTCCTCAGCAGGCATCCCCTCGTGGTCTGCCCCAAAGGCAGTTTTTCAGCCTTTGTTCTGCTGCACTTCTCACTACCCCTATGCGTGGCCTGCCTCGAGAGATTCTTGAACTAGTGCGGCTGTGACCCCTAGCTTTGTGGTAAACACTAGGATGAAAGAGACTTGCAACCACTTGGCTTTGGTTCTGGTCAAATACTCAGTGTAGATTGAAGGAAATGCCTACATTGTGGCTTTGACTCCTCGTGGCTTCCCTTTGCCCCTGCTCCCAGCTTCTCCATTCATATTCACCATGGATGGTGCTGCCTGCAGAGGTCTTTGGGTGGTTTTCAGGTGACAGTTGTGGTTAGTAAGCTCACTGTGCTATGGTAAGCTAAAACATCACCTTGCCAAAACCTCTGTTTTCCTTTCAGCTTTGCTAACCACTTGTCTTTCAGCCTTAGCAACAGCCTTGGGAGTTCTTGTTTAACACAGGAGATACTGTCAGTTAACCTTCTGTCAAATTATCTTTTTTAAGGATTCTTATGAGGCATCAAAGAGTGCAGACAGAAACTAGGGAGCTATTCCAGAGTGTCAAAAAGAATCATACTCATGGAAATCCATTTAGAACTGGAATTTTAGGCCACCTCTTTTACATGACTGTAGTTAGAAAGTATGGGAATTACATTCATATCTGAAAATCCTGGAAGGCCTGCCCCCTGAGTACTGACTAGATACGGTTTTGGACTTTGGATCAGAATAACCTAGTGTAAAGAACTTGGGTTTTAAGATTTAGACCTGAGTTGAGTCTTTGCTCTGCCAATCACTAGTGTGTAATTTTGTTGTTGTTGTTAGGTGCCGCTGAGTTGGTTCTGACTCATAGCCACCCTGTGCACCACAGAACAAAACACTGCCTGGTCCTGCGCCATGCTCACAGTTGTTAGCTTGAGCCCGTTGTTGCATCCACTGTGTCAGTCCATCTCGTTGAAGGTCTTCCTCTTTTTCGCTGACCCTGTACTTGACCAAGTATGATGTCCTTCTCCAGGGACTGATCCCTCCTGACAACCTGTCCAAAGTATGTAAGACATAGTCTTGCCATCCTTGCTTCTAAGGAGCATTCTGGCTGTACTTCTTCCAAGACAGACTTGTTCGTTCTTTTGGCAGTCCGTGGTATATTCAATATTCTTTGCCAACACCATAATTTTAGAAAAGTATTTTAGAATAATTTTAGAAAATTATTTATCATCTCTGAACCTCAGTCTCTTCATTTGTAAGATGGGGATAATAATAGTACCTACCTCATAGGTGCATATTAAAGATAATATATGAAAAGTGCTTAACAATGTCAAGTACCTAGAAAAGACTCGATAAATTTTAGCAGCTATCTTTATTATTGTTATCACTAATGTTTACTCTTCAACCAGACTCTAGTTTTGCAGGTCTTGTTGCAGAGATAATTACCTGGGTGTGGGTTAACAACCTGGTGTTGGCGAAGCATTTCTTAAGACCTTTGTGTGCAGTAGATTAAGTATGATTAAGATTAAAGTTGGCCTAGTTCAAAAGACTTTCCACATGATATGTCGCCCAGGAGAGATGCATTTCCTTTCAGGGCAGGTGACAGGCCATTTTGTAGATATATTTTCCAGTGGAATTATACTGGTAGAACAGAATCTTAATTGGCTTTGCTCTCTGAAAATCAAACGTACTTGAAAATATACAGAATGAAGTATTTCTAGGTAAGACCTGGCAGGGTCTAATTGTACAAAATAGTTTTGGAACGCAGCTATTTATGTAGTGACCCTTCATCCCTGAGCTATGGTGGATGGAATTTGTGTCCTTGGCACATGAGTGTTCTCCCCTTTTGCCCTGGGTGCAACTGATGCCAGCAGCTCCTGGCAGCCTTCCTGTTACTATTTGGAGCACTTGCCAGTGAGCTCTAAACGAAAACCAAAAACCAAACCTGTTGCCACTGAGTTGATTCTGACTCATTGCGACCCTATAGGACAGAGTAGAACTGCCCCATAGGGTTTCCAAGGAGTGGCTGGTGGATTCAAACTGACAACCTTTTGGTTAGCAGCTGAGCTCTTAACCGCTGTACCACCAGGGCTCCAGTGAGCTCTCAAGACAGGGAGAATTCAAACAGCCTATGGTCCTTGCTTGTTATGAAGGCCTAGAGGGTGATTATCATATTTGTTGACTGGTCTCTAAAGGATGCACATATGGGAGAGTACTATTTTAGAGGCAGCTAAAATAAAAGAGTAAGTTAGAAAATATTCCTCGAATCTGAAATAGTATAGTTTAATGGAGAACCTCCTGAAGGAGATGTGGCAAAAGACTGGGTCTTTTGAGATGTTTACTGTCTAAAGCAGGGTTGGTAAACTATGACCCTTGGGTTGGCTTCTTGTTTTTGTAAAGTTTTGTTGAAATGAAGTCATACGCATTTGTTTATATATTGTTTATGGCTGTCTTCATGCTACAACAGCAGAGTTGAGTAGTTGTGACAGAGGCCATGTGGCCCACAAGCCAAAGATACTTGCTGTCTGGCCCTTTACAGAATGTTTGCCAACTCCAGTCTAAAGCATAGGCCTTCTAATCTCTTATCTCTTAGCAGGACTTGGGATCATAGAGAGGAGTAGTGGGTTGTAGAATTGTGCAGACCTGAATTCACATCCAGTCCTGCCACTGCCTAGCTGTGTGACCTTGGGCAGGTGTTTTAACCTCTCCGTGTCTCAGTTTCCTCATCTATAAAATTGAGTTAATAATAGAACTTCTAGGTTGTCAGAATTCAATGAGATAATGCATGGAATGCACTTAGCATAGCATCTGGCATGAATTGTGTGCTCAGTAAATGTTAGCTGCTATTGTTATTATCATTCTCTTGGTCTGGAAGTTATGTTCCATATGGTGTGACTCAAGCTAAATGCCAAGGTAGCTGAGCAAATCCATCTTATACTCAGAGCTACTAACTCAGGGAAGAGGAACAGGAGATTTTCTGATACAGCAGAGTATCGGCCCAGTGAGTGGGATAAGACCCTTATCCCCATGCACTCTGATCTTCAGAACAGCTTTCTGCTGAAGGTAGTCAACAGGTAGTATTTCCTAGTCATTGGCTTCATGCCATCCAGTCTTTATGTTATTGTCCCCTACTTGTGATGTTCTTTGTAGGTTAAGAAGTATTTTTCTCCTTCTACACCATGATTCTAGATAACTGCTTTAAACTTTAGATGAATCTTCTAATGTTCATTTGTTCATTCATTCATTCAACAAACATTTATTAAGTGCCTGCTGTGTGCTAGGAACTGTTGCAGATTGCTGTCTAAACGAAGGACATAGCGCTTGTGGATCTGCTCACTTGCTTTCTTCTTGACTACATGGCTACCAGCTCTGGTTAGTTTTGAAATGGGGAGCACAGCAGTGGGATGCCACAGCCAGGAACTTTTATTCTATTTGCCTGACTTTTCTCTGGAGGAAGAAGAGTGAGAGTCATGCCCTCATGCTCTGTTAATGCCTGTTCTTTGGGGCAAACGGAGGAAGTCAGGCCACAGGTTGTCAAATTGTCTGCAAAAAGGGACACAAAAAGTGGGACTGGGCACCAGTGGGTCCTGCAAAGGAGAACCAAGAACAATAAAACAACTCCTGCAGAGTTCAGTACTTACTCTTAAAGGAATAGCAAACCCAGGAGAATAAGAAACTAGGCAGAGGCCTAGGCTGAGAAGGTAGAAGCCAATGCCTGCCACTCGATGTGTGCCAGGTCAGCCCCAGTGGCTCTGCCCCTCTCTTAAGAATTAGCCTATCACTGAATAAAGTTTATCTGGAGATAAGCTTTAAATGAGCTTTAGAAATGTAAGGTTATGTTTTCTAGAAAACTGCTATGTAGCCATAGATTGTTGTTGGGTGCCATTGAGTTGATTCTGACTCATAGTGACCCCACGTGACAGAGTAGAACTGCCCCATAGGGTACGTACATAACCAGATTGCCAGACCTTTTTCCCACAGAGCCAGTGGGTGGTTTTGAAGCGCCAGCCTCTCAGTTAGCAGCCGAGCACTTAACCATTGCTCCACCAAATAAGAGGAGAGGAAAATGGGTGGTATTGGCCAGTGAAAAATGGCTCAAAAAGGCATTGCAGCTCTTAAAGAGCAATGCTTTCCTTAGCTTTCTGGGACAGTTGGGTTTAGCTGTGCTTCTGTGTTATTGTCCATCATTTCTGACCTAGTGTTCAAAGTGGTAGAATCTGAGCATGTTGTAGTGCTAAACTTCTTGTTGTGCTTAGAATATAATGTAAATCCTGGGCCATGGGGTCCTGCATGCTCTAACCTCTGCTGGCACTGCCAGCCTTATTTCATCTCTACACCTCTCAGCCTTTGCTCCAGCTACACTCCGCTTCATAGTTCTTCAAGCAGACTGTGCTCTTCCTCATGTTGTCTCTCCTTCTAGACAGCATGTCCACATGGCTGACTTTCTGTAGGTGTCTCTGGAAACATCTCTTACTTAGAGACAGTCTGGATCCTCCTGTCATAGACTCCTAATGCATCCAGAATTTTCCTTTGCACTTCTCATCACATTTTAATTTTTGAAGTCCTCAGTAAGCCCTGTGAGGACAGATTCCATGTCTTTGTTGTTCTCCCCTGTACCCCTGGCACTTCACATAAGGTTTGATACATTCTATTTGCTCACTACATTTGCTGACTGACTGAATGATCAGAAGGAGCAGTAATTTGCAAAAGGTTTAAAAAAAAAAAAATAAGCTTTAACCTTTTGATTTGTTTTGATCTTGTTTTCCAAATAATTTTTGAACAAGGTATTTTATTGTTTCACAGGCACACACACATATCTTTTAAGGGATTCTCTGAAGTGGCTTTTTTCAGTGACTTCATATGCGTTGGAAAAATCTTACTTTCTTTTCTTTCTACAGAATGAAATGTGCCTGGCCACTCAGCAGCTTTCTAAACAACTGCTGGCATATGAAAAACAGGTAAATTGATGTGTGGTACACGATGCTGTGCTCAGGACTTTCTTAAGTGGAGTTCTTTTAAAGGAATTATCCAGTGGCATCCTTTAGAAGCTTTCTTCTCTTTCTTTTTTTTCCCCAAATGTTTTCTTTTGTCTTTTTTTTTTCCCTTTACACTGATAAATTTTAACTGGTGGTCATCCCAAAGTCTTTATGATGTATTTTAATTGGTCTACAGAAGTAATCAACTGCCTTTAGAAGGTTTATGTTCTTTGAGGGACTACAACTGAATCAACCCTAAACAACTCCAGGAAGTAAACACTCAAATAGATACCATTGTGTCCAAGCAGGTGGGCGATGGCCAGCCAGAGGCCATTGAGGTCATTCCTGGGGCAAGGCAAGGAGAGAGCTCTACTTTTCTTCAGTCAACGCTTCTGACATGATCTGCTCTTGAGAGAACAAAGGAAGTTGGTGTGGAGGGCAGTGTATTGTGGGGCTGTGCTGTAGTGCCACTTCTAGCATTCAGATGACACCTGGCTTTTTTATTCTTTGTTTTTAGAATTTTGCTCTTGGCAAAGGAGATGAAGAAGTAATTTCTACACTCCACTGTTTTTCCAAAATGGTGGATGAGGTAAGATAACAACTTGGCAAATTTTTATTTGATTCTTTCTTGAGCTTTCTTTCATCCTTATTTTGGCTCACTTTACACTTACAGGTAGCTATTTAAACATCTGAGATTTCAGCTGGTTGATCTTCCAAGGTTCATTTCAAAAAGGATATTGTATACTGTTATGTTTGTTTCTGATTTGAGGGAAAAGGCTTTGATACATATGAGCAATAGACCAGAAGAGAGATTTCTTAGATTCATTTCCCAAGGAGGGTTTCATACACCTGCTCTTCTAGCTGTGTTGTACAGTACATTTGGAATATTTGTGAAAACAGGTATTGTTGTAGGAAACGTGGATAAATCAATTGTTGTAAAATATATTTATATATAAGAGCTCAAATACTATTCTGGGAAGAACCCTCTTCAAAATTAGGCAGGTATAAACAGTCCCATCTTCCAAAGAGTTTGTAATACTCTTTGAAAATAGAAAATCATGATAAAGAGTAAACAAAAAAGAGAATGTGCAGATGCCATTCAAATGTACAATCTTCAGTTTGGAAAATCAGAAACTTTCATATAAAATTGTACTGGTTGCATTTCCATTCATTGAACAGATCAGCTGAATGAGCCATTATTCATTCAACAAATATTTACTGACCACTTAACTATTTAGCAAACATTGGTCAAGGCATGGGGGATAAAACAGTGAACAACAAGTCATCCAGTTCTTAGCTTCATCTTCTGTCCCACTACTGTGGCTCTCTTTAAAATGTGTGTTGAAATGGGTGAATATCTATTCCAGAAGAGGAGAAGGATGAATAGGAAATGTAATTAGAGAGGGACAAAAGGTGAATTTTTTTGGAGGGAGGAGAGGAATTTTTCTTAATTAGCAGTGAGTAAACAACCCCGGGGGAGGGGAGGGGGAAGAAGTGAGAGACTGTATCCACCGAAGTCCTGTGTTTTCTTGATTAGAAGAGCACCGCTAAGGAAATATAGTTAGTTTTTAGAACCCCAGAACCAAGATTTCCAGTTTAAAATATTTACTCACAACCACATTTTCATGGGCAGAAATGATGATTCTTAGTAGGAGTTGAATCATTCCCAAAGGATGGAAGCCTGGAAGTATAATTTTATAGGTGGTGTAATGGCATCCAGCTATGAGTTGGAATCGACTTGACTACAGTGGGTTTGGTTTTGGTTTTTATAATGGCATCCTGCGGGCATAGTGGTTAAGAGCTATGGCTGCTAACCAGAAGGTCGGCAGTTTGAATCCACTGGCTGCTCTTCTGGAAACCGTCTGGGGCAGTTCTGCTGTGTCCTATAGGGGTTGCTGTGAGACGGAAATCAACTTGACAGCAGTGGGTCTGGTTTTTGGTTTTATAATGGCATCCCAGAAGTTTAGCCCACTATCCATCTGTCAGTTTGTCATAATGTGACTTGCATATTGCTATGATGGTGGAAGCTATGCCACCAGTATATTAAATACCACCAAGGTCATCCATGGTGGACAGATTTCAGCAGAACTTATAGACTAAGACAGACCAGGAAGAAGGACCTGGCAATCTACTTCTGAAAATTGTCCAAGACTTTGATTTGCTTACTTTGCACACGTGATCGAGAGGGACTGATCACTGAAGAAGGACATGATTGGTAAAGTGGAGGGCCAGTGAAGGCAAGGGAAACCCTTAATGAAACAGATTGACACAGTGGCCACAATAATGAACTCAGACACGCCGGTGATCATGAAGATGGTGCAGGACTGGTCAAGGTTTTGTTCTGTTATACATGGGGTTGCCATGAGTCAGAGCCAACTCATTGGCAACTAGCAACAAGTTTAGCACTTGCTGGGGTTTTTAAAAAAGCTTCTTGAATTAGAGACCTAAGACTATGAAAGTAGTGAGCTCCAGCTGAGTCTAGACCTGGGCAGAGGAAGGTAACCTTTGAAATTGTTTTCTCTATCTACTCCTGAACCTAAACCAGGTTGAAAATTTTTCAAAACAAGTAATTTGACTCAGAAATTTAAAAACAGAGTTGGGGCCAAGATGGCGGAGTAGTTAGACACTTCTGGTGGACCCTCTTACAACAGAGACTCGAAAAAACAAGTGAATTAATTACATATGGCAGTCTGGAAGACCTGAATATCAAAGGCAGAGTTGAGGAACCGGATTGAGTGGCAGGGAGAGGGAGAGATGGTTTGGAAGCAGCGAGGAGTTGCCAGACCTGTCCCGGTGAGAGCCTGAGCCATTCAGGCCTGATCAGCTTGGGGGTGAGCGGTGAGGTGGGCCAGCAGCAGTGCTCGGGAGGCACGTTTTCTGCGCCGGGAGAGACCCAGCGCCAGAGTGTCTACACAGCCACCCAGAACCAGTGAGAAGCAGCCCTGGATCAGCAAAAGATAAGTAATTGTGTACAGCCTACCGCATGGATCAAAAACACACTCCATAGGGAAAAACCTCTCTCCCATTTACTTCCCAGCTCCCTGATCTGCACTGGGTCCCAGACTGGCTTCAGCAATTGCTGAGTCCCCTGGGCTGGAAGTAGGATCCATCACATGCCCGGAGCCATTTTCCCTGCCTTGGAGAGTGAACAAATTAACAAACAGAGGAAAAATAAACTGCTGGCTCCCCTAAGCCGGGAACCCAGGGTAGGCACAGCTCCTTTGCCTAGGCACAGGCGTAAGGGATGCATGGATTTTGAGTGCCTTTACCCCTACATAGACTCGTGTAGGCCCATCTCAACAGCATAGGCCCTCATTATTGCAGTACAACAGGGTATATACTGAAGTTTAACTCAAACTGTTTCAGCTGTGAAGTGGCAGGTTCTTAACATTTGACGCTGCCGTGCACATTAAGCAGGGTCTTCACCTAACCACATCAGGCGCCTGAGGACTGGTGGCTCCACCCACGCCACCTAGCTGCCTGTGATAGGGGCCCATGAATAAGAGGTGCCCCCCCAGTCCTTACAGCCAACAGCATTAGGTGCTCATACTCTGGCTACAAAACCCACCTACCTACGCGCTCTAGGGAACAGGGACACGCCTTCCTCCTGGACACATAGGGGTGGCCGTCAGCCCCCTTCATTGCTCAGCGTGTGTCCCCCTGCTGCAGCCAGATGCCTGTGCCTACACCAATCACCCATACCTGTCTAGGAATGTAGGTGAGAGCCCGCACACTTGGTGGCTATCTACCTGGGCACCTGAGCTGAAGCCATACGGGAGGAGTGGGTGGACTCCTGAGCTCACAAACCTATTAACAGATCTAACCACCTGGTGACAGGACATTAGAGCTTCAAAAGTGCCAATAATCAAACTAGCTTATATTAGCAGCCTATTTGGGCATATCAAAACAAAACAAGAAGCTAGGACACAGGAAGCAGAAATAACTTATTGATGGCTAGGAGACAACAGTCAATATCAAATCACATAAACAGGCAATCCATGATGGCTTTAGCAAGCTCTCAAAATAACACTCTAGAAATTTTCCAGAGGAGGAAAATTTCTTGGAATTACCAGAGGCAGAATACAAAAGATTAATAATACAGAACTTGTAAGAACTTACGAAGGAAATTAAGCAAAATGTAGAACACACAATAGAGGAAATTAAAAAGGTTAGAGAAGAGCATAATGACAAATTTAACAGGCTGCAAGAATCCATACAGAGACAGCAGTCAGAAATCCAGAAGATTAACAATAAAATGTCAGAATTAGACAACTCAGTAGAAAGTCATAGGAGCAGAATTGAGGCAATGGAAGTCAGAATTAGTGAGATTGAAGATAAAGCAGTTGATACCAACTTATTTTAGGAAAAATCAGATGAAAGGATTTAAAAAAATGAAGAAACCCTAAGAATTATGTGGGACTCTATCAAGAGGAATAACCTACGAGTGATTGGAGTACCAGAACAGAGGGGGATAACAGAAAATACAGAAGAATTGTTAAAGATTTGTTGGCAGAAAACTTCCCTAATATTGTGAAAGATGACAAGATATCTATCCAAGATGCTTATCGAACCCCACATAAGGTAGATCCAAAAAGAAAGTCACCAAGACATATTATGATCAAACTTGCCAGAACCAAAGATAAACAGAGAATTTTAAGAGTGGCTAGGGATAAATGAAAAGTCATCTACAAAGGAGAGTCAAGAAGAATAAGTTTGGACTACTCAGCAGAAACCATGCAGGCAAGAAGGCAATGAGATGGCATATATAAAGCCTTGAAAAAAACTGCCAGCCAAGAATTATATATCCAGCAAAACTGTCTCTAAAATAGGATGGTGAAATTAGGGCATTTCCAGATAAGCAGAAGTTTAGGGAACTGGCAAAAACCAAACCAAAATTACAAAAAATACTTAAGGGAGTCCTCCAGTTAGAAAATGAGTAACATCACATAACAACCCAAGATTAGAACACAGGACAGAGCAACCAGATATCAACCCAGATAGGGACATCACAAAAGTAAATCAAAGCTAAAACACTGAAAATAGGGAAACAGTTGTCAATATGTAAAAGATAACAACATTAAAATAGAAAAGAGAGACTTAAAAAATGTAGACAGATTTTTCACATGGAGAGGAAGTCATGGCGATATAAAGAAATAAAAGACTGGTACAAACTTAGAAAACTAGGGGTAAATATTAAGGTAACCACAAAGGAAACTAACAATCCTACAAGTCAAAATAAAAACCTAGAAAAATATGAAGACTCAGCAAACACAAAATCAACAACTATGAAAAAGATGAAAAGAAAATACATAAAGAAAAACGACTCAGCACAGAAAATCAAGTGGAACAGAGAAACTGTGAACAACACACAAAAAAAGACATGAAAATGATAGCATGAAACTCATACCTATCAGTAATTATGCTGAATGTAAATGGACTAAATGCACCAATAAAGAGACAGAGAGTGGTAGATTGGATTAAAAAAAACATGATCTGTCTATATGCTGCCTACAAGAGACACATCTTAGATTTAAAGACAAACAAAACTTAAAGGATGGAAAAAAATATATCAAGCAAACAACAC